ATTTGAACTCAATCAGCTCTCATGGAATGTAGAATACCAAGAAAAGTATTTTTAAAAGTTGTTGACTCCTTGCTGGGCATGGTGGCGCACGCCTTTAATCCCAGCACTTGGGAGGCAGAGGCAGGCAGATCTTTGTGAGTTTGAGGCCAGCCTGGTCTACATAGTGAGTTCCAGGCTCCAGGCCAGCTGGGGCTACAGGGAGACCCTGTCTCAAAAAGACCAGAGGAAAAAAAAAGTTGTTGATTCCTGTTAAACCATGGCAAGATTATTACAACTAATCTTTTAGCAGGCTTAGTAAAGTCTCTTTAACCATAAATGAACCAATTTTTTTTTAATATTAAAATTTTCAATTTTGTTTTTTATTTTTTCCCAAGAACATCCCATTTTATTCTTTGTAAACATAATTTTTAGAGACTAGAGAGATGGCTCAGTGGTTAAGAGCATTGACTGCTCTTGCACAGGTCCTGGGTGTGATTCCTAGCACATGGTGGTTAACCATCTTCCTAATTCCACTTCTGGAAGAATTTGATGCCCTCTCCTGGCCTCTGTGAACACTACACAACATGGGTGCACTTACATACATACAGGCTACTCATACACAAAAATAAAAATAATAAAACATTAAGAAAAAATAATTTCAATTGAATTTTTGTAAATTTCATTCAATATATATTGATCATACTTAGATCCCCCCATCTGCAGCCCTATTATAGCAACCTCCTATCTGATTTCATGTTCTCTGTCATATATGTTAAGGCTTATCAAGGCAAATTTTCATGTCTGTCCACTGGAGCTGGTTAATCTATCACACCCTTAAAGAAACCAACTTTCTGTCTCCCAGTAGTTATTGGTTGCCAATAGGTACTCAGCTAGGGTTTGGGTCTCCCTGCAGCCCAGCTGGCCTGGAACCCACTATGCAGACCAGGCTGACCTCAATCTCACCTGCCTCTGTCTCTGTCTATGAAGTGCTCTTATTAAAGGTGTGCATCACCATGCTTAGCTAGAAGCCAGTTTTGAACATAGTAACATTCTTATTCACGAGTGATCTATAAATATTTTTATAAGTGCAACTCACAAACTCGTATATACTCAATTAAGCACATATAATTCTTTGAGTATATTTTGACTGTAAGTTAACAACAAACTTTCCAACATCTTATTTTCCTTTCAAAGTTTCATCAAAGAGTTAGATTGTGGCAGCTAACTCACTGGAATGTCTTCATAATACATGAACTATTTGTGCTCTTTTATTTTTTGTTCTTTTAGAAACAGGGTCTCCCTGTAGCCCCAGCTGGCCTGGAACTCACCACATAGACCAGGCTGGCTTGAACTCACAGAGATCCGCCTGCCTCTGCCTCCTGAGTACTGAGATTAAAGGGATTTGTGCACTTTATACTGTTTGAAAATTGATTTGTACACTGGGTTTACAACATCAGAGCTATTTGAAACTCATAAACTGACTAAAACCATAGGTCAAATTTGTTCAATGGACAAATTATTGAGTATAAAGCAGAAAATAAGTTATTGGCTTCGTTTTCAAGACCTGCTTTTCTGGCTCTGCATTTTTTAACTAATGCATTTTTTTTTTTTTGTCAATTTCCTGATGGACAGAAACTTAGTAGTGTACTTCTGATAAATGAACTAAAATAATTGACAACCATCATCTGTTTCTAACTTATTGGCATAGGGATCTTCTACAACACCATGTGAGCATAAGATTTGTTTAAATAGATATCACTAGGTCCATTGAATATCTGTAATCAATTTGAATCAAAACCTGACAGTAGCACTAAGCAACTAAGTGCGAGATTTCTGTATTTAAAAAATTATTTATTTTTATTTTATGTGTATGCGTGCACTGCCTGCGTGTAAGTAAGTGCACCCATGTTGTGCAATGCCTGTGAGGACAGAAGAAGCCATCAGATCCCCTGGAACTGGAGTTATGGACAGTTGTTAGCTGCCATGTGGATGCTGGGATTCAAACCCAGGTCTTCTGCCAGAACAACCAGTGTTCTTAACTGCTGAGCCATCTCTCCAGCCCCCCAAGAGATTTATTTCCATTCATTTCTTCTATAATATTCATACTAATTAACAAGATAACATAAATATGCAAATCATTTTACTCAGTTCGTCATAACAAATGTGGGCACATAGATCGATACTGTAGAATATATATGTATATATAATATACAAATATAGATGTATTTATGCCCTGGAAGAAATGCATATATACCCCCTGGAAGGTAAACACTCAAATTTATGTCCTTATGAGTTTTCAAATTATTATCATTACTTATTAATATATGCAGATCAAGATGAAAAATAACACTGCAATTCATTATAAATTCTATTTGAATTTACATGATTGATTTTTCTCTTTTTTTTTCTTTATCTTAAAGGGTTTAAATAAGATTATTCTGACACACATTAGAAACTGTTGGAAGATCCCTATATGAACTTATTTATTAAGCATAGTATTTTCCTTTGTTATGGAAAAGGAAGAAAATGTGTTTTTTTTTTCTTATTTTCTAATGAAAAACTATGAAGTTATTTTTAATGTCTATATCAAAGGATGAATTTAAAGTTCTGGGAGACTCTTGGATACCCTGACCAACAACAATTCCCATTGGGAATTTTCCCTTGCCTGGCACTGTGATTTAGTTATATCATTCAGCTTTACACATGCACTCACATTTATGTTATATGTGTATTTTCAGGAGACTTACTAAATACTACATTTACACATGCACTCACATTTATGTTTTATGTGTATTTTCAGGAGACTTACTAAATACTACATTTCCCATTGGTTTTTCACACCACTTAAGCATTATTTATTATTTATCTTTTTCCCCTCTCTGCCCCTGTATAGGCCTCCCCCAAGTCCCCCTGTTAAAGTACTTCCCATTTTTCCTTGGTAAAGCCTGTCTCCTACTATCCCCCTCTCTGAAGCTCCCCTCCCTATATGGTTCCTTTTCATTTTCCTGGCTCCTGTGATTACATCAGTATACACACACACACACACACACACACACACACACACACACACATATGCATATGTATGTATTCACATCTAAGGATTTGGATCCAAAGCACAGGGCTTTTTAATGATAATTTCACAGTAAGAAAACCAATGAGTTTTTGTGTATTTATTTCATTTTCAGTGCTAAGGATGGAGCCCCAGGCCTTGATGCATACCAGACAAATGTTATCTCATGTAGCCTAGCCACAGCCCCAAACCAATGAACTTTTAAGAAAAGTGTTATATTGCAACATAAAATAAAAATCCTTCTTTCTTTTTGAAGGTTTATTTTAGTGTGTGTGTGTGTGTGTGTGTGTGTGTGTGTGTGCATGTGGCTACCTCTGGAAACCAGAAGAGGGTGTCAGATCCCCTGGAGTTGGAGTTATAAGCAGTTATGAACTGCCTGATGTGGGTGCTGGGAACAGAAATCTGAACTGCTGAGCATCTCTCCATTTCCACTTCTTTATATGGCCACATAAATGAACCATATGTCAATTAGCTAGAATAATTTCTAAAGTTCCCGGTACTGATTTCTATCCTGGGGTATATGCATGTTTGTTTGAATACATTGTCCAGTTCAGATACCATTTGACTTAACAAGGGCACATGTTGGCTTTCACTTTCCATCTAACTAGAAGAACTATGCCAGAGATAAGATATTAAATAAGAAAAAAGCTCTTTGTTTAAAAAATACTGCATGCACAACATAGGAGTAAATAGAGAAGTCCATTTACTAGCCCGTGCAGTGTGTAAATGCCCGTAGTATGCAAACAGAAGGCAAACTGGACAGCAAGCAGGAAGTGGTCTGTCCTCTCTTGACTGCACAACTAGAAGCAGAAAATGTTGATCCAAGAAACTTCTTCAAATTAAAAAAGTCTTCACTCAAAGGCAGAGGCTCACCCCTTCTTGTGGCTAGTCTCCTTGTTTCTAGACACTGTGGTTTTCTTTCTGTTTTTATTGTAGACCAGTGTGTTCAAAATTCAACTTCGTTTTGTGCGCACATGATGAATGCAAGCCTAAAATCTATCAGAGATTTATAAAGAAAAGGAGTGTGTATCTAGGAATCTTACACAAATGTTCACAGAGATAGTACTAATGATGTAATCCAGAATGAACTTTTTTCCAAAAATATAGTTTATATCTAATAAACCTTCCTAGTTTCCATTTATACCTTTAAAATACATTGGAAATTAATATACTAACAAAAACAACCTGCTCAATTTTTGTAACAGCAAACATTTCCAGCCATGAATCACACATTAACAGAAAAAAACAGAAGCAACTCCACATCAATTTTCACAGTCCAGTTCCTCTACATGAGCTCCAAACACAAGACCAGAGCCACACACACAGGGTTTCCCACAACACTTCCTCACAGGGGGCAAAGATGCTGCTTCATTTTACTTACACACACACACACACACACACACACACACACACACACACACACAAATGAATACACACACACACACACACACACACACACACACACACAAACAAATGAACAAACAAACAAACAAAAAACAAAAAAAACTACACCAAGAAATGATAAAGGCATCATAGACACATTTCCAACTTCCACATATAACACACTAATAACAAGCTTTAATAAGTAGTATTTTCCTGTCAAACTGTTCTTAAGCACAGATTTATCACCTTTTTGAAATAGTAAAACATTAATTCTGTAATAGTCTGATAAGTTCTTATAGAGTTCATGGAGAGAAGCTATTAAAATACAGATATTCGTTAACACTGGAAACAGGTATTTTGTACTTTTATCCCAATATCTACTTGTTGATATCATCAGAGTTTTACGTTTTTTCAAATAAGAAATAAAAACTTAATGAGTCTACCACTAGTTAGATAAATATCCCGAAGAGGTCAACGTCAGAGTAAAGCCAACGTCAGAATATTTGGAAACTTAAATAGTTAAATCTTCCCACCACAGATCTGGGATCCCGCGCCTCTGCTGCCTTACCTCAATAATTCTGTCATGAATCTTCAGGCCATCTGCTCTGTCTGCAGGTCCATTTTCTAAAATTTTTGAAACATAAATTCCTTCAGTTGCTGATTGCTTCTGATTATTCTATAAAAAGATGTAATCATTAGTAGAAAGAAACAAATAAGCAAATTTTAAATTTTGTAAAGGATACTGTTCTAAATCCAATGTTAACAATTCTCCTTAAACATGTAACTCTCTTAGCTGGGAATTTTGCATAGAATTAACTTACTTAACACCAGCTAGTCATAAATCAAGATATCAGCTGTAATTAATGAGTCTGGCATCTCTGACAAGATCATCTATTACACTGCATTTCAGAGTTCACATGAAAAGCTGTAGAAACCTCTCACCTCTAAAGTGCTATGGCAGATAAAAATTATAGAAGAAAAAGAAAACACATTTACTTCCTAGTATGTAGTAGCTTTGGGATGCAATCATAATTTTGGAAATATAGTTAGCTTCATAGTGTGAGAAATTTGGAACCATCGCTCTGACCTAGAAGACGGAGTATGTTCAAGTGTAAAATCCTAAAAGTTTGACTGTCTGTGTCCAGGAAGCTCACTGGATGCTGATCTTCACATTTTTTCAGGTAGAACTTGCTTAGAGCTTAGGGGAACCTCAAACATGCAGCCATTTGACCCCATCTGGCCTTTTGGCTAATCACAAGAAACCAGAGGCACTGTACTACCTCCTCAGGGACGATGCTTGTCATCCTGTGACAGTACATGACGTAGTCTCAAATTCCAGTTTATTTTATGACAGGAAAAATAAATTTAACTCTAAAACTTGTTCTTAATTACCTGTCTTAGCAGTAAATTTAAGAAATTCTTAAATGTCAACGTTCAATGTCATCTAAATGTCAAAGTCCTAACTGCATTTATAAAAATATTCCTTGAGGGGGAAATAAAACAACAAAAATAATGTGAGGAAAAGACTTGTTTTCATAGTAACTGGGACTATTTCTGAAAGAGAAGCACAGCATCCATTGGTTGCTAGGTTTGCTAGTTGCATAGATTATGCAGGACAGTACAGATCAGCCCCATCCTGACCCCCTTAGTGCACTGCCTGGTCTGTGCTGCTACGTCAGGGACTTCCTCAGACAGCAGGTGCCAGGTAAGATTGGAGTATTTCAGAGAAGTTCAAGGAAAGTTAAAGAATTTAAATTTTTTATTAATTTTCTTTGCATGAATTCAAAAGACTTTGTAAATTTATGACTTTTTTGCAAACAATAGGTGTAGAGTTTATTCATCCTATTAAACAAGAACTTAAGGGGCTGAAGAGACGGCTCAGTGGTTAAGAACACTGACTGCTCTTGCAGAGGACCTGGGTTCAGTTCCCAACATCCAGATGGCTAACAGTCATCTGTAACTTCAGTTCCAGAGGATCCAAGGCCCTCTTCTGGCCTCAGGAGGCATTGCATGACATGGGTGCACTTACATACATGCAGGCAAAACACACTCTACATAAAAAATAACAAAATTTGTAAAGGAGTTGATTTGAGAAGTCAAAAATGTTAACCATCAGTTTTCTTTAATACTGAGTTTCTTATGTAACTGTGAAAAGAAACTTATCTCTCATTTAAATTCATTTCCTCTGTCCATTCATTTGTCAAGTTCTCAATCTGGGTTAACATCTAAAGTTGAACAGGTTGAGCATCACATGGGAAGTGGAAGCAGATGTGTTCAATGGAAATTGCCTATTCCTGTTACTGTGACACAGGTTTAAGAGATCTGCTAACAGTGCTATTAAATGTAGGCAGATAAAAAGTGAAGTGTATTTTTTCTTTTATGACTGTAGCTAGGAGAACCAAGTTTGTTAGCTGTAGTTTTGCTTTTTTTAAATTCAATTCTCTCAGAAAGAAAATCTGGGTGTGCACTATAATGTCTGCATTAAGGAATCTGGCATTTGCCTACAAGCATTTTAAAGATCAAATCCTGTTTTCCTGACTCGAAGTCCATTTCATGAGCAAAGTAATGTGTTAACAAGGGGAGTCACCTGATGTGGTCGGCCTCCTATAATATTGAATCCCAAAGCATCATCTTCTCTTTTCAATACAACAGTGATGGACTTGTGTTCTCCATCCTAAACAAAAAGGAGGCAGATGGTAAGTAAAAAGTAAAAAAGAAAAAGCGAGTACTATGTCAAGCTTTTTTTTTTTATTACGTCAATGAAAACATTTGAGAAGTGAAAACTCTTAAGGCTGATTAAATTGGGCAGAATTTCTCCTGCACAAACTATGAAAGTATGCATCTGAAGGGATCAGCTGTGCACATGAAGCCAGGATGTCTTTTCAGACTTGACTATATGGTTTTGCATTTCACACAGGCAGCATCTACTATTGACTTCACCTTAACTGAAAACAAATTTCTGGGCTTAACCATGCAGGAATCTTTATTTTTATCTTTGCATGACAGAAAAGTAAAATAAATCTTCCCTGAGGTTAGAGACATTTTGATGTAAAATTTCTCTTTAGGAAGTGTTAAGAGATCTTTTAAAACGCTGAGCTGTTTAAAATTTCCCTTCAGCAGTAATATTCTGATTGTTGCCTAAACACAGGATCTATTGGGATATAGCAATCCTGATTTTAAATAATAGTCCTATCTGGTTTGCTGTAATTCTCACAAAATAAAAATAAAAAGATTTTTGCTAAGTAAAGTAGTATGTATTTCTTTCCTCGTGGAACAATAATATTTAAACAAATAGAAATTATGAGGCTGGAGAGATGGCTCAGCAGTTAAGAGCACTAGCTGCTCTTACAGAGGACCTGGGTTTGATTCCCACCACCCACATGGCAGCTAAGAACGGTCCATAACTTCAATTCTAGGGGAATCTGACGCACCTACCTACATGCAAGCAATGTACTAACACATATAAAAAATAAAAATATTTTAAAATGGGAATTAGTAAAGACCAGTCTTTCGTGGGGCTGGACCCAATGACCTTCAGTCACAATTACACGTGTTAACTTCTCTGAGGAGCTTAAATGTTTGGAATTACCTCCGAGGGGTGAAGCCCCAGGGCACCCCCACTGCGAGGTCACACCCCACTCTCCCAGGAGCTTTCCCAGGAGCGCAGCAGCCCCTGCTGGTAGCGCAAAGCATTTCTAAGCAGCGCCGGCTGCGTTTGACAATGAGTCTGCAAATCACTTCTCAGAGCCATTCTGCACTGGGTCCTGGGCTTTTCTGACCCAGTTCCAGTGGTTGCACCTTTCCATCTACGTTGAAACCTGGACTCGAGGCTGTGCGTCCCCCAGCCCCCGACCCCCCTATCTGGAAATCCTCCTGAATATGTAAGCACACGGGAAATCATGGGTCACCCAGTCTTTTCCTTTTCATTGTCCACATTAGTTGCACACGGTACTCTCTTACGTAAGGACACAAACATGTACTGAGTTATGTTGACTACAGCAGTCTTTTGATGCGCAGTGTGCTTTCCCCCTTCAGGAGCCAAAACCAGTTAACTTCTCCCGCTTCAGTTGGGTTTTTCGAGCTGTGGGCAGGAAGGTCAAACGTGTGGCTGCGCTGCAGGCCAAGCTCAGCATCCAGTTCAGCGCAAAGTCCCGGAGTCGCTCCTCCCCGGGGAGCGCACTCACCCAGCCAGCCCGGCTGCGGGACACGTCCCCGGCGCGCGCGCGCGCGCACACACACACACACACACACACACACACACACACACACACACACACACAATCAGTGAAGGGAGAAGTCAGGGGTGTGAGAAATCCCAACTGCCGACCCCTGCGTTTGCCTTGGTCCCCTGCCATCTCCATCCCCCGAGATCTCTGAACTGAGCAGAGGGGAGGTGACTGATAAGGAGTTACCAGGAGCGTTTGGCAGAGAAAGTAAATCACTCACCCCTCAAGGCTTTACTTCTCCAATTTGCTTTGGTCACTGGCCCAGGGCATCAAAATGGGCAGCGTCAGTGGACAGGAGAGTGGAAGATGGTGTGGATGGGAAATGCGTTTTCCCAACTCCCACTTCTCAGGGGCGCAAGGTGCAGCTGTCTGGGTTGAACTCCCCAAGCTACATGGATAGAGGCTCCGCAGACTCGGCTAAGGCTAACCTGGGGGCGGATGCGCCCTGCGGCGGCATACGGAAGGCAGACACGCACCTCCCCAAGTAGCCCTGAGCTCTCCTGTGCCCCGCCTAGCCCGTTCTTCCCGTACCCCCGAGCTCACCCTGCGGCGGCTTCTAGGGTCCCCCGCGAAGTTGCGAATGAGAGCCATGAACCGGGCCAACTTCTGGTACCTCGCGCTGCAGCAGGCGGAGATGCCCCAGCAGCGTCTTCCCGCGCCGCCCGCAGGCCACGACCGGAGCCCCGGGTCCGAGGCGCTCGGCCGCGCGTGTCCCCACCCCGGCGGGCCTCGGTCGCGGACCACCGGGCCTCCCGGCCGGCTCCACAGCAGCCCGGGGGGGAGGCGCAGCGCTCGCCGTGCGCCGCCAGCTCCCACAACCGCACGGCGCGGCAGCAGCCCCGGGAGCTGTAGTCGCGCAGCACCGAGCCGCTGGACCAGGCTCTGCAGCGGGAGCGCCCGGGACAGCTCGCCCGGCGCCGGCTGCTGGCACTGCAGCGGGCACCCGCGCCTCCGCGCCGCCCAGGGCAGCAGGCAGCTGGCGCCGAAGACGTGCCCGCGGGGGTGCGCGGGATCCTCCGTCCCCTGGCCGCACGCTGGTACTGGAAAGCCGGGTCCACCGCTTCTGCGAAGCGCTCAGCGCGAAGCCCATGACGGGGGTGGAGAAGGAGGGGGCCGTGAGGGAAGTCCGCCCGCTCCGAGCCCCCCAGGCTCCTCCAGGGGCTGGCGGGAGGAGGTGCTGGGAGGTGTGATCTCAGAGTTTGTTTCAAGTTTTCAGGCTCCGGATGTCTCCTGACTCCGCAGCACTGATGCTAACAAAAGCCACCCGGGTGGGTAACCCTCACTCCTTTGCCGCTTTCCAGTTTGTTCCTGTAGAAACCAGACTAGTTTACAGCAGCCCCTGGGAAGCCTCGCTCTTTCCCTGAGCCTCGAGGGCTCCTCTGCTTGGACCAAGCTGGCGATGCGCTTCGATGAAAAACAAGTCTGAAATCCACGGGAATGGAATCTATGTGTCAAGCAGATCTTCAGTGAGATCGTTTGAAACAAATGCATTTTTGTGCTTTCACTGTGACAACTACAGAATCGCCAGCTAAAAATATTTGACCCTAGAACTTAACTGTTAAAAAATATGACTTAGGAAATCCACAGGGCCGGGCCTCGCAAAACGAGGTGCAGAAAGGTGATTGTAGAAAGAGGGTTCCTGATGGCCATAACGGCCATTCAGGCTTCCTGACGAGGGGGAGGAAGCAGGCATTCAGTGCCTTGACTCCAAGTTCACTTGGCACACCGTCCTTCTTCCACTTCCGCAAACCTTTTACTGCTGGGAATACAGTATGATTGTTTGGGCACATAGAAAGGAAAATTAAAGGGTGGGTTATAAAACCTTAATGATTCTTCCCTCTCTTGGATAGACTGCAATCCAAACTGCCCTCCCCTCCCAGTAGACACAGAATGCAGCCTGCCAGGCCTACCTGAAAACATGCACTATAGGATCCCCCTAGTCCCTCCTTCCCCCGTTTTCCTCCCTGTCTTCTGAAATTTGGGAATGCTAAGAGCCTTCGCGCCTGGGTGTGTGCACATCACTCCATTACCCAGGACCCATGCCAGGTGCTTGGGATGGGCTTCCTACATTGATTATTGCTGATTCCTCTCTGCAGTGGAGTGCTTCTCTTGGAGAGCTGGGAAGAGCATCAGTGAGCACACAGGGCAAGGCGCCACTGTTTTAAATCTTACAGCAAAGTGAAGAATTAGCAAAGGCTAATAAAAGACCCCACTAGTGGCCTTCTGGACCTGCTTTCCAGTTGAAAGATGAGGTTTGAAGAGTAGCTCAAGCCAGTGAGTGACATGGTGTTGGATATTTCTTACACTTTTCCTCTTTTGTAAAATTAAAATGCTACATTGTATGTTTTATACATGCAGATATATGATAAAGTAATATTTGCTACTTTGATAATAAATTCCTGAATAATAAGAATTGAAATACTAATAGCAAGAACATATTGTTACTTAATGCATTTTATAAAAGTTATTCAAATAGTTTATGAACAGGAGAAACCTGTTTTATCTTTTCTAGTACATAACATCCTGTGTCTTATAGATATAACTTTATGTTTATATGTTTGACAGTAAGCAAAATGGTGCCAAGAACAGTTTTAAAACAGAAAGCAAGAAGAGGCAGAGGGCTGCAGTTGTGGGTAGAGAAAAACGAAAATGGGGCCTGAGAGATGGCTCAGCAGTTAAGAGCACTGTTGTTCTTGCAGAAGACCAGGGTTCGAATCCCAGCACACACACGCTGGCTCACAATCATCAGTAACTTCAGTTCCAGGAGATCCAATGCCCTCCTCTGTCCTCCTCCAGCACGACATGGGTGCATTTACACACATGCAGGCATAGCACTCATACACATAAAATAGAAATAAAAAAAAATGAAAACTGTCAGGACTCGGGTTTGCTTTGCTCAGCAGGGGACCTACTGGCTTGGGGCAGAGAGACTTGATCAGCGACCGAGTCTTGGACCCTGGGACCTGTGTCTTTTCAACAAGCCATTTCATTTTAAAATTCAGATGGTTTTTATACATCCCAAGGAACTGGTGGTTACGTGGGATATGGGAGTCACATACAAAGATTTAGGGTACAAAGAAACAGGACATTTAGTCTGTTAGTTGGTACCAGAAGGATTCTTAAACTTTTACTCAAGGTTATCAATGCCCATCCTGTAATTTATTGGCCACAATGTTTTCTTTCTTAGAGCTAAAAGCGTGGTGAATTTTTAGCTTTTAGCTCAGGAGTAAACCTTTAACCTGGCCTAATCTCTTAGCCAAGGATAGCTGAGTTATTTGTTCAGGACAAGGAGATGAGCTAAGGGTTGTTGACCAAGATGCTTTCCCACAGAGCAGGGAGCCTGCACTTATGACCAGGCCACTTCCTCCTGCCAGTCTGCCAGTGTTCTGCAAGACAGGGATTATCAGAGCTACTATTTTCAGTGCCCTTCCCTTTAGCAGAGAATGCAGCCTGGACTTAAAAGTTTTAGGCTCAGCTGGGCATGGTGGCACATGCCTGTAGTCCCAGCACTTGGGCGGCAGAGGCAGGCAGATCTCTGTGAGTTCAAGGCCAGCCTGGTCTACATAGTGAGTTCCAGGACAGCTGGGGCTACAGGGAGACTCTGCCTCATAAAGACAAAAATAAAAAAATTTTAAGCTCATCTCACCCTAGGGCTTGGCATCCTGGTTTCCTACAAAAAACAATGATCAAATGATATCCTGATTCATCCACAGAATTCTTACTGCAAAAGTAAGGGGCATAAATAGATATAATATGGTATGGCATGGTGTGGTGTGGTCAAAATAGATACAGTATGGTATGGTATGGTATGGTATGGTATGGTGTGGTGTGGTGTGGTCAAAATAGATACAGTATGGTATGGTATGGTATGGTATGGTATGGTGTGGTGTGGTGTGGTCAAAATAGATACAGTATGGTATGGTATGGTATGGTATGGTATGGTGTGGTGTGGTGTGGTCAAAATAGATACAGTATGGTATGGTATGGTATGGTATGGTATGGTGTGGTGTGGTGTGGTCAAAATAGATACAGTATGGTATGGTATGGTATGGTATGGTATGGTGTGGTGTGGTGTGGTGTGGTGTGGTGTGGTGTGGTGTGGTATGGTAAGGAAGATATGGTATGAGGAACTGCAGGATCTATAACATATTCACTATTAATAGGAGGGAAGATGTCAAAAACTGTATCCACAGAGTTAAAACACAAGAATATGTGAAGCCAAGAAATGACCTGAGCCAAAACCATGCTCAGGAAAACATTTTACAGAAGAAAATGCAAGCTTGAGCATTTCGAAAAGAGTTAAGGAGAAAGGCATGGCCAGAGAGATTGAACACAGCCGAGTGGACTCACTGCAACTCACTGCAAATCTATGAACACAGCTGAGTGGACTCACTGCAACTCACTGCAAATCTATGAACACAGCCTAGTGGACTCACTGCAACTCACTGAAAATCTATGAACACAGCCTAGTGGACTCACTGCAACTCACTGAAAATCTATGAACACAGCCTAGTGGACTCACTGCAACTCACTGAAAATCTATGAACACAGCCTAGTGGACTCACTGCAACTCACTGAAAATCTGTGAACACAGCCTAGTGGACTCACTGCAAATCTGTGAACACAGCTGAGTGGACCTCCCTGTGTAAATCTAGATGTCAGCTGAGCTTCTGTTTAGACTACAGGAGACTTTTCTGTACATCAGGAAAATTACATTACCCAAAACTTGGATGAGCTAGGGACATGAGCCTTGCCCTTGGCAAATCTATGAACACAGCCTAGTGGACTCACTGCAACTCACTGCAAATCTATGAACACAGCCTAGTAGACTCACTGCAAATCTGTGAACACAGCCTAGTGGACTCACTGCAACTCACTGCAAATCTATGAACACAGCCTAGTGGACTCACTACAACTCATGGCAAATCTGTGAACACAGCCTAGTGGACTCACTGCAAATCTGTGAACACAGCTGAGTGGACCTCCCTGTGTAAATCTAGATGTCAGCTGAGCTTCTGTTTAGACTACAGGAGACTTTTCTGTACATCAGGAAAATTACATTACCCAAAACTTGGATGAGCTAGGGACATGAGCCTTGCCCTTGGCTACTCACCACAGCTACCTGGTAAGACCTAGTTGCTGAAGACACCACACACTTGGGCTGCAGGATGTAGAGAAATCAATCTTAAACTGACCATGAAAGTTCCTCTATTCTGCTAGCTTTCATAGTGCCCAAAGGTGCTGTTCAGGCTGCTAGGGGAAAAGATATCAATGGTCTTACTGGACCCTACTGGCTACTATACTGACCTGCCAGGTAAGATGTGCTCACTGGCCTATCATGGCAAGATGGCTTTGGGGTATGGAGCTGCTCTATGAGGCCTGCTCCACAGGAGGCAATTTCATATCTGCTACTATAATTTTGGTCATAGTCCATGCTGAAAGGTATAAGCCTAGGGAAGAATCTGCTACTGCCATTTTGTTTAGTGATAATGTTGTCAAATTGCCTTTTAAATATTTACGCCTATACAGATCTTGGTCAGAAAAGCTTCTTTTTGCTGTGGGCAGCAGTCAGTACAGAGATCCATAATTGGTCATCTTGCTGACAATAAGAGACAGAGTCATACTGAGTCCTACATGGAATATCTTTATCATCATTCACCTCCCTCTGCCAAGGTTCAGGGAACATCATGGAAAAGGAGGTAGAAAGAATGTGATAGTCAGAGGATGGGGCTATGGCAGAGTGCTGTGAAATGCTGTCTTCTGTGCTTGTGTATGTTGTACTCCTGAACTCACAGCAGCTGTGGTTACCTACAGGTTGGCACAAAATCAAACTAGCATCGACCAGGGAGCTGTCACTTCTCCTCCTCCTCCTCCTCCTCCTCCTCCTCCTTCTTCCCCTTCCTCCTCTCCTCTTCCTCCTCCTCCTCCCCCTCTCCCTCCTCCTCCTTCTTCCCCTCTTCCTCCTCCTCTTCCTGCTCCTCCTCCCCCTCCCCCTCCATCTTCTCCCTCCTCTTCCTCCTCCTCTTCCTCCTCCTCCTCCTGTTCTTCCTCCTCCTCTTCTTCCCCCTCTTCCTCTTCCTCCTCCTCTTCTTCCTCTTCCTCCTCTCTTCCTCCTCCTCCTCCTCCTCCTCCTCCTCCTCCTTCTCCTCCTCTCCTCCTTCTTTTTGAGACAAGGTCTCTGGCCTTGAGCTCACTATGTAGCTCAGTTTTGGAGATCTGTCTGCCTCTGTCTCCCAAGTACTGGGATTAAGGTGTAGACCACCCAACTCAGTCTAATTATTCTTTCTTTAGAGTGCTTCACTGGTGGATTTCCCATGCTCCAGTGGAAGGCCCCACACCTATGCACATATAGGCAGCACTAACTGGACTTAGTGGGTTATCCAAAGGAAGGAGGAGGATGAGGATGAGGATGAGGAGGAGGAGGAGGAGGAGGAGGGAGGAAGGAGGGGGAGAGGTGAGGAAAAGGAGAGGGAGGAGGGGAGGAACAGGGGGAGGGGGAAGGAGGTAGAGGAGAGGGAGGAGGAGGAGAGGTGAAGAAGAGGAGAGGGAGGAGGGAGAGGAGGGAGGAGGAGGGGAAGGAGGGGAGGAGGAAGAGGAGGGGGAGAGGGAGGAGGAGAATGAAGTGAGGAGGAGGACATGTTGGCAGATACAAGGGGAGTTAGATATGATCGTATTTCACTATATAAATCTATGAAATTCTCCAGAATAAAGAAATATTAAATAACAAGAAGTAATTCTCTGAGGTAATTAAAGAAGGCACTTGGAATGAGTTTTAGATACAAACACATATTTCAGCAAAGTAGATCCAGGAACATTTAAGTATCTTGGCAAATGGGACAGGTCAACCTCTTTTTCATGAGTGTGGGCATCCACCTATGCTTTCATTGATCAATATTTTCTGACTTTCAAGAGTATCCAGATAACAATAATTGCAGAGTAACTAGTAAATTTGGGGGCATAGCTGATAACAAAGCCCCGTACTCCTGTTTGGGGGAGATCAGCCTCTGCTGCATGGCCTGTAATGTCCAAGACCAGCTTTCCTTCAGTCTGACTGTCTGCCCCTATAGCTGTAGACAAAGACAGACAACAGCTTCGCTTGGATCCCTGGCTTGTTTCAAAATATCCTTATGTGGCTGTTTATTTTTCAGCTTAGTAACTGGTTTCTATTTCATTCTACCACTGACTCATATATTCATGAAGAGATAAAGAATCTACTTGGATCTTATTATACCAGTTCTGAGAGAGTTGTTCCTTGGGTGTTTCCAGTGCAAGAGGCAGGGTTCCATCCAACTCAGCTTGGAGTGAAACCTACTTCACAGACAAGTGGGAATCTGGGAAACAGAAGTTATTGAGTTTAGCCTAAAAGCCTTAGCATTCAAATGTCATATCTTGAGACCTAGAAGTGAAGAAGGTAGATATGAAATGGGACAAAAGATGCCCTCCCTTAAAGCGTTAGGTTTTGCTAAACCAACTCATTTTTATTTTTTTTTCCTGTTCTCTTAGGCATTTGATTAGTGTCCATAAAGTCAAAAAGTGTGGAGAAAATTTCCAAAGAACCTTTGAATAAATAAATCATTTATTTACTATATAGTTAAATAGCATAATTTAGTACTTTTAGCATAACCATATTCTTAATTTTTAAAATTGCATTCATTGATTCATTTTTTGAGGCAGGGATTCCCTGTAGCCCCATCAGGCCTGGAATTTACTATGTAGACCAGGCTGGTATCAGTCTCACTGAGAGAGAGCTGGTGGCTTCAGCCTCCTAAGTGATGGGATTAAAGGCATGGGTCACCATGCCTGCCCCTGTTTTTATTTTATGCATATGAGTGTTTTATTTCCATGTATATAAATGCACATGTGCATGTAATATCTGAGGAGGCCAGAAAAAGGTGTTCCATCCCCTGGAACTGGAGTTACAAGCAGTTCTTAGCCTCCATGTGGGTACTGGGAACTGAACTCTCTCCTTGGCAAGAGGAGTCAGTTCTCTTAACCACAGACCCTAACAGCAACATTTTTAAATGCTCTTTTATAAGAACTTTCTCTAAAAAGGAAATTTCATCATTTCTGTTTTATTTTCTCTGATTCTCTGGTTTTTCCCCCCAAAGTAGCCTAAATTGAAGCTGTAACTTTATAAAATTACTGTAATATCCTAGGCAAAAAATACTCTGATACTTTAGGTCCACATATTTCCAATACAATACATTTATCTTTGTCATGGAATTTGCTGTTCATACATATTCTTTCTTTATATTTTTGTGTCATGGCCTAAGATTAGAATTGTGCCTAGTAATAAAAATGAATGTGTTCACAAAGCAAGTAGTAATAACAAGGTCACCTTGACACTATTTAATAATTTCAAACTTGACAGGAAAGTGCTCTAACACTGAGTTAGTAGAAAGCTCATTTTTAATGAGGCAACTATTTTTACAAGATAAGGGTGATTGTCCTATCAGCCGTCCATTTAGGATGTGTTTTATTCTTAGAAAAACTCAGAATCAGTTAAAGCGAGAGAGCACAGAACGCCATCAATCCTTATAAGCCCTACTGCTGATGCGGATCCGTTAGGAGTTATCTGCTATTATCTTGATTTCTGCTATCTGTGACAAAATGAAAACTTAGAAGGAGCATCATGACAGTACAGAATGACACTTTTAAGAGGAATGAAGTGATGTGAACCAAACATTACACACTTCAAAATAGAAGTGTTTTAAAGTAATTATACAGTCTCTGTGAGAATGAATTATCAGACAAATATAAATGAGGAATTTGAAGAAAATCAAGTTAAAGTGAAGCATTAAGTGCAAAGTTGTAGCAACTTTCAATTAGACTATAGCCTGATTTTCATAAGTTACTGAAACAGTATTTAGTGTGTTATTAACATTCCACTTAGGAGATTGTGTTTCTTTCTTTTGAAAAATCGTTTGATCAGATTTGCCTCTCTTTTCAAATCATCAGCTTCCTCCACAAAGCCCTGCTCAGAAATTCCACTTCGAACTGGAAGAAACTTGCTCATATATTCAAAATTTTCAAAGAAATGTTATGTCCTCTGTAAGCAGACTTTTCTCTGGTTTGTGATTTCCTTATCAAGGTGAAGGAGTTCCCTATCCTTGTCTCAGAAATCTCAGCTAGGAAGAGGAACAGCACTTGTTTATTGCCTCTGTACATGACGACTTTCATCCAGCAATTCTCTTCACCAACAATAACCCTCTCACTGGTCTGCACAGTATGTGAGAGCCTGTAGATATACCATGTGGCCTCCTTATTTTCTGTGATAAAACACCGACCAAAACAAACTGGAAGAGGAAAGGGTTTATTTCATCTTACATCTCCCAAGTGAAGCACAGACCACGCAGCAACACCCCTTACTGCTCTGCGTCTCTGGCCCGTGCTCAGCCTGCTTTCTTATATAAGTCGTGACCACCTGCCCAGGGGTGGTACCACCCACAGTGGCCTGGGCCCTCCTCCATCACTCAACAGTCCAGAAAATGCCCCCCACACATGGCCACAGGCCAGTCCCATGGAGGAAATTCCCCTGTCGAGGTTCCCCCTTCCAGATGTGTCAGGCTGACAAGTGAAGCTATACACAGCACAGCAAGTTGGTTCAACCAGTGGGCACAGAATATCTTCAGTAACTAGGTTCTCTACCTCTGTGGTCCTTGAAGGTACCTCCTCAGGGCTGGAGGACAGATGTCAAAAACTGCCATGGCCCTATGCTTTCTCATACAGATCAAACAGTCAATTTGATCAAAGCATTATATATCGTTTAAACGGAATCCTACCTTCTTTATATGTGCTTTGCAATCTTGCAGGGGATTACTTAATCTTTCTAAATACTATTTTGCCTTTAAAATGATTAAAATAATGATCACTCCACAGAGATTATGGAACTCATGATTAAATTATGTCTACTACTCTCACATACAGGAGGCATTCAATAAATGAAAGCTTTTGGTATTTTCTCTCACGCTAACATGATTCATGTTAAAGCATTTGTACACTTAAAATATAATGATCATGTTGGATCATTCCATTAAAAATCTTATATAAAATGTCCCATATTCAAATGATGTGGGGATGCAATGTTATTAAAATATTTTCCTAAAATTTTTTAATAATTTTTATTGCATTTATTCATTTATTGTGTATGTGGATATGTGTGGACGAGTGTGATGTTGCTTGTATGGAGGTCAAAGGACAACTTGCTTGAGTTGGTTCTCTCTTTCCATCATGTGGATTCTGGGGATCAAACTTAGGTTATCAGGCTTGACAGCAAGCACCTTTATCTGATGAGCCATCTGGCTAGCCCTGTTTTCCTAAAATCTGACATACATGATTAGAGGGAAAAATATGAATAAATGCGCTTCTCAAAAAACACATTTTGTTTTTTTGTTTTTTTTGAGAAAGGTTCTCCCTGTGGCCCTAGCTGGCCTG